TATATATATATATATTTATTATTTTTGTTATATTGTCCTTTCACCCATGCCTGACTAACAGTACAGAAGTACTGCTCACGTGCACTCATGTTACAGTATCAAATAACATAAAACTGACCTTTGGTCTGTACAAAGTAACTTGTCTTGGCTGTGTTTTAGTCGACTAGTATTTTGTAAAATACAGTCAAATTTCAATGATTATACATTATATATGTATATAGATTATTGCTATTTTGTAATAAATTCTTGAACATGTTTTTCCTAAGCATAGAACAGTAAATAAAGAAGTAAAGCAAACCATTATCTCTTCTAGTTACGACCTTTGTATTTGGTTGCTGTTTGACATAGGTTGCTAAGCCTTTAAAAATTTTGCACGTGAAGAATATGAAACAAAATACTTTTTTGTTAGGTTTTATATATATTTGAATAACTAAAAAATCATAAATTACTACATCAATATCTTCACCTCTATTATCCACCCAACCTGTGGGGTTTACCTCTCACAGATCTATCAGACTTTGGTTGGTCTGGGAGTAGTGGATGAGTCGTGCTAGTTCTTCCAAAGTTTTATTCCTGTTGGTTGTTGGGCCTATGCATACAGGAGATTGGGGTCCAGTCATTGATCTTTCTTGTCTAAATCCATGCCTAGATTCTCTAAGGTTCACAAATTACTCATTCATCAATCTGAGTTGACATTTTTTCCTGGGATTGTAGATGTCCATGTTTGCTGTAGTCGGCTCCTATCTGCACATTGCCATAGTGGTGGAGTCCCACCACTGTCTGTGTTTGTTATACACAAGGGTCAGGTACTGTTGTTCCAGGTTTTTACCTTTGGACCCCCATCGGCTTCATGTGGGTTCTGCCATATTGTACGAATTTTCTCAGCACTTCCATTTCATTGCACAGTGGATGACTGGTTTCTACTGGCACTATCTCGTCAATTGTCAGAGCATCACATCCTGATTCTACTTTCAGAAAAGACCAAGGCAGGCTTCATTTTCAGGACTAAAACAGCTTTTGCGACTACATAACTTTTGAGTCCTCAGTACTCTTCAGTTCCTCTAGTAGCTTTGGGTCCTTGGTCCCAAATGACCTTTCCAGCTACCCAACAGTTATATTAAGATTACAGTAAGGATCTTTTTCAGCATCTCTTATATGCCATGTATCTCCTTTATTTGAAGGTTTCTTTTTCATTGCTGCTGACCTACAGACATCACCAGTCAGTGATTTGAACTATTTGTCTACAGACTGATTTCTCATTCTTTCTATTTCCTCAGACCAGTTTTTCTTACCCAAGACACTGTTACACAGGAAAGTGGTTGAAGTCCTTTTCACTTATTCTTCTATTTCTCACTTCTATGTCCAATTAGATTTGATTATGGTTATGTGCAGTGAGGGTCTTGAAAGTTTTGTTGCCTGCGCTAATTCCTTTTAAAGATGCTAGACAAGGACTTTTCTTCTGGACTGTCTTTGAAGGCAAGAATTCTTCTGCGAGTCATGTCTAATCAGATTTGTTGCATCTCCATGTCCTTTGCAGCCTGGTCAAAGTGCCTGCTGAAGGTCATTGTGCAGATTGGTATGTGGACCTTTTATCATACATTATTTGCATGATCTGGCAGTCTCTTCGTCTGAAGGTTTTTGCCTACACCCTATAGCTGTCCTAATCATTTCAACTAGATTATACAGAGGGGTGAGTCTTTTCTTTGCTACATTTCAGGGTCCCTTAACTTGTTTTCACACGATTCCACTGTGTGGCAAGTGTTGCCAAGGCAGGTGTGCTTTTACCAAACCAACTGTGCACTAACAACCACTAATTCAGTATACTATATACAGGTTGCAACAGGCTCTGTAGAAATGAGGTGTTCCATAAGATCATCTAGGAGCTGACCAGGTGGTATTATTGTACTATGCTGGACTGCCACTCTTGGACTATCATGGATAAAGCATAAGGTGATCCTGTCCTTCCCTGCTAATCATTGGATTGAATATACTGGGGTTGGTTTGCTTTTAAAAATTTAGGGAACTTGGTTCACCTATTGCACTATTTCCAAAGCACTGTTCCCCAGGACCCCCAATGCACATTACCCCCCAGATTCTACTAGTGGAGCTAGGGAGTCCTTACCACACCCAGTTTCCAATCAACAGGGTGGTAGACAGAGGCTTTTCCTCCAGAGTGTTAGAGTGAATTTCTCCACTCTTGGAGAAGAGGGCAAAGTTGGGGCTCTCCTACCCAGGTCCCTGGATGTTTATCCCATATGTCGGTAGGAGTGGCACCAGCTTATACGGGAGCCTAGTTGTAATACCGGTTCAGATTTGATGCTCTACTATCTGGATGGGATGTGCATGGTCCTTCTGTTTGATCAATATACGTTCAGTATATTGTTCATTGAAGAGGGTCCACTATCTCCTCATAAATCCGAAAGTGGAGTGTTCCCATCCTTGGTCCAGCACAGTTGTTCCATATCTTACCCATAATTCTGGGGGCAAGTGGAAATGTACCTTGCCCACATGGTTGTGGAGTGAGGATGAATGTTCATAATTCCAAACCAGATGAATTCTGTTTCCTTTGGTTGAATAAGGCATATGCAATCCTTCATTCCAAGCCTGGGGTGCTGCCTTTCAGGCTTCTTCAGGTGGAGGAGAAGGTTTATTAAGCTTTTATAGTTTAGTAATGGGTAACAAAGAAAACTATTACAAGTTTAACACAGTAATTATTGCACAATGTTTGGAGAAGATTTTGTCATTGTCAGGTACAAGTAATTTACATAGACATAGGAATATACATGCAGTTCAAAACAAAGATGTTACATGACTGGAAATTGCTTGAGGCTTACTAATGGTATCTTGTTGATGTTTGGTCCTTTGTTTAAAATTATGGTGTTTTTATTTTTGAATTGATATACCCTAATTGAGTTGCAGTGTTTGTAAACATGAGGTTTTTTTATTATGTTCATCAAATAAATCAGATAAGTTTAGTGAGTAATGTAGGTGAATGCAAAACATTCTGATCATACAAATATTTATTTAATATTTTTATGTTTATCTTATTTAAACAAAGTGCATAGGTAAATTGTCTAACTGGTTGCTTAATTGTTGCTAATTGCAATTGTGATGTATTTCATATAGAACCATTATTTTCCTTATCAGTGAAAGTAAAACATTTTCAATATTTAATTATCAGTTTATTTGATGTACAGAAAATCAGTGGGGGGTTACTGTATATTTTAAAATTAAACATAATGACAATCACGTGATGGTATTTAGTTAACATTAACAGTTGATTCACCAAATAAGAAATGTCCAGATTATCTTTAAAAAATTTGTTGCAAGATATTTTTTAGACAAAATGTGCAAATGACAACCTTCCGAAGAGGTCATAATATGAAACAAAAGGTAATTTGAAAAAGGGTGAATGTAAATAGGAAGGTTTATTACTATTTGAATGATGTATAAATGGAACAAGTCATGATGCTAGTTCCTTCTTTTTTTTGCTTGTATGGAGGGTGGAATTGGAGGGGCACATAATAAGTAATGGATTAATAAGTCTATCAATTAATCATTTAACAAATACTAGTCACCGAACTGTAACAAAATCACCTATTCTCAACATCTTAGTATCATCAAGTTTTTTTCTAATTCAGCAGCATTCAACACAACTGTGAGTCCAATGAGTAAAGCTGTTATGAATGTTTGTAGAATTCAACAAATTTATAACAGAAAAACAACAAGAGCAAATCAGATGAGAGAATAGATAAGGAAATATTGATATATTTTCTAATTCTGATACTGTTGGATAAATTTTGCTTGCTTACAAAGTCATGTCATATTTGATGTTATAAGTGTAGTATGAGACAGTGCTGGAGGTAATTGTAGTCCAGTTAATACCACTAATGTGAACAGTATCATTAATAGGTAGTAGTAACATTTTAGACATATCTGCTCCAAGCATTGGTGTAAAATACATGAAATTGTTGCAGAAACATAAAAAGAGCAAAAAATTTTCTTTGTCACTTTTGAAGTATATCAGTATATGATTTGTTCTTGTATTTTAAAATATATTTATCTGACAGTTTCATTATTTTTCTCTGCTCTGTTTATAGAAAATGAATTTTTGTTATCTTCTGAAGATAAAATTTCAAAACTAAATATCTTACTGGACTGCATGGTGGAAGAGAGTACTGTCGATGATCAGAAGCTTATCTTGAAAGAGTATACTCAGGTTAGAATTTTTTTTTTTTAAGTATGAGTTGATTTGGTAAACGTTTTTATCATTTGAAATGATAGTTTTAGAAATTTTAAATCCAAAACATAGCTAGTGGATGTAGATATAAATTACTACTCTGTATTGCATTATTTCTGCTTAGAGTGGCAAAAGGCCACTTATGAATCTAGTAACAAAATGGTAAATTTGTTTTACATTTGAGGACCAAAATATTTGTAACTTGTATACTCTTCAACATCATTGCTATTAAAATTTATTTTTCTTTTAACTGTCACTGCCGTGTATATGGAATAAACTATATAACCTATGTTTTAGCCTTAAGATGTGTGATATTAACCACGTGTGAGTTTGGAATTTTTTACCACCATAAGGAAAGAGCATTCCCCTACAAACTGCACAAAGTTTTACTAGTTTCAAGTTCCAGACAAGTAATGAGATATTAAAATGTTTTGTTTTTTATGGTGTTTCTAAAAGTAAACCTGGCATTGAGAGAGTTTTTGATAAATGTGGCAGTGACAGATTTAAGAAATTTAAATATGTTCAGAAATTCTGTAACGTTTATGTTAGCTGTGAATGCAAAACTTGAACTGTTCTTTATTTGTACTAATATTCCTAATGAAACATTTTATTCTTGATTAAGGCTTTGATGGACTTAACTTTCTTTCAAGAAGGTGTGTTAGTTGAAAAAGAATTCTCCAGTGAAACTGCTGAGACAGAGGTACTTAGTATATTAGGTAAGGCTTTTGAGTGCGTGTCATTACAAACACACAAAATATAACAGAAATTTAGAAAAATCTCACTTTTTTGTGATCTTGCAAAACTAGTATATCATGATGAAAATAATAGAGCACATTATATTTTTGAAAAATATTTTAAATATTCAGGTATCTGAATAACAGTGATATTTGACTTTAAAAAGTAAAAAAGTACTACTTTTATTTAATTAATATTTGGAATAATTGTCATATATTAATTTAGTATATCTAGATGAATAAAACCAATTAAATGGTAACTAACAATGTGTTTTTTGTTCTCCTTAGGAATATAATGTTTGGTGGTGAAGAGTATTTTACTATTATCAAAGTAAATGGTACATTATGTCTAAATGTCTTTTATCACATACCAAAGTCTTAAGAAGTCCAAGTAGTGACCATTTTTTTGGAAAAAGTTGGGTTTTGATAAAAAAAAATCATGAGGAACTGGGAAATTACTGTAGCTTTACTATAAAGGGTCAAGTTTGAGTAAAATAAAGTTTGTTGTAATTCTGATGATGTACAATAAATGGGTATTTTTTAATTGGACTATAGTATAACGGACAGAGTGTAGAATAAATGGGTGTTTTTTAAGTGGCTCTAGGATAACTGACAGTGTAGAATAAATGGGTATTTTTTAAGTGGCTATAGGATAACTGACAGAGTGTAGAATAAATGGGTATTTTTTAATTGGACTATAGTATAACGGACAGAGTGTAGAATAAATTGGTATGTTTTAATTGGACTATAGGATAACTGACAGAGTGTAGAATAAATGGGTGTTTTTTAAGTGGACTATAGTATAACGGACAGAGTGTAGAATAAATGGGTATTTTTTAAGTGGCTATAGGATAACTGACAGAGTGT